TTCTTCATTACCTGCTTCCTATGTCCAGCAAAGCCTTCCGTCCCCATCCACCAGCCTGATGCTGTTCGCACAGGGGGGGGTCCCACTGCTCCACCTTGATTCTCCCAGGATTTCAGGTACCTCCTGCTGAGCCTCCAGCCAAGATAACCCAGACCTCTGCTATGATTTCTTCGCTAGTCCTGAAGGTAATTATCTGCAATGCCATCCCTCTTTCCCCACATCGCCCCCCTCCTCACCATCCATTTGCTCCCCCCACCTCCATCCATTCACGTTCCCATAATAAAACCCAACTCTGCCTCGCATCAATTAGGCACAGAGAAAAAGGGCTGTGCTTTGAGTTGACTGGCTTCCTTCCAAGCCAAACACGCTAATGTAAACCTGACTCCATTACTGCTCCGACCTGCATGCGTCCCAGGGCACCCAGCTTTTCCGGAGTTAAGCTTTTGTTTACCCACTGTCAAGTGGGTATTTCCCAGCCAGCCTCTCCTCCCATGGAGACTGGCTGCAAGCATCCCTACCCCCCACTCAGGCAACCAAATGTGACATCAAAGAAGCCCCGGAGTGGCCATCTGTCCCTGCCACACCGATGTTTATGCAATGTGGGCAGGAGAGGGGCAGGATGGCGAAAGGCTCCAGGGCATCCCCTGCCTCAGATCCAAGACAACAACACCCCTAGCTGGGGTGGTGGTTACAGAACAAGACATTGACAAGACAGTCCTGAATCTGGCTGAAGGGGTCCCAGCTTTCAAGAAGGTAGGATAAAATAACTTCACCTTTCTGAGGGTGTGCAAAGAATGAGTTTGCTGTGTTTCCCGGGGATGGGGATCTAAAAATAAAGTCAGTTCCCTAATTTGGCAGCATCTCAAATATTGCATCCCTCACCCTTAAAATACCCCACCTAAGCATGGTATTTCAGGCAGTGTGGACTTTTACCAAATTCATCAACAGGGATGTGCTAGGCAGAACTGACTAATGTAGAAGAGGGCAGCTCAGAAATGAACCCAGTAGGCTCAGGATTCTAGAGGCAATAGGACAAGGATATTTACTACTGTCTAAACACCTCTGCTTATATCTAGAGACCAAAGTCAAGATGCATAAGAATGGTCCTGGGTTTAGAAGTCCTGCAGTTCAAATGCAGGTTCATACCACCAGGTAGAAAAGAAATAGATGGTAAAGTCATGTGGGCTCATCAACTGGATTTGGAGGTAAGAGTAGGAAAATCGCAGAGTCATGGACTGCTAGGCAGCACTTAACAGAGTGCTGGGCACACAGTAGGGCCAGGCACACAGTAGGGCCAGGCACACAGTAGGTGCTCAATGTTTACTGCTTTCTTTATCTTTGCTCTTTACTTCCAGCCTTACTCTCTTTCCACAACCTCACTGGGGGTTGCCTAGGGGGCAAAGTGTGTCCACATTGGCCAAGGCAAAGAGGTCACTGAGGACCATTTGGCTGGTCATCAGTTAAAGACACACCAACTTGGCTCAGGATCTTCTTATCTTTCAAATGGGGGCAGCGGGTGAGGACAAGAGAGGCTGCACACATTTCAGCTACCATTTGCATGAAGTCTGGCAACCACAGTCCAGGTACTGGAGGAGAACCACATTATTCATCCCCCAAATCTGCCTGCATTCTCTGGGGGAAGAGGGCCAGCCACTGTGCTAGAAGCCAAGAGATGATCCATCCACCCGATGATTCAACATGAACAGCTGCTGTGCGAAACGCACACCCAGGCTCACGCAGAAGTGGGCTAACAATTTTTAGACTTGTCCCTCGCTTTCTTTTTTTCCAACTGTGTTCTCTGACCTCCTTATTCTCCTTCATTCATAGAACCCAGAAACAATCTTGGCATTTGCTTGCATCACGCAAGCAGGTTCTGAATGACCCCCAAAGAATCGAACCATCAATCACTTAGTGTGTGGGTTCAGGGCACAAGCACAGCACTCACGAATCCAGATCCAGGTTGGGGGAGAGCTTTATAGCAAAGGTGACATCGGGTAAATGGATCTGAGCAGGGTGAGGAATATAACAGTGGGCTAGGACAGTTAGAAAGACAGCAAGGAAGGGGTGAGCTTGAGTGAACTCTCAGGGAACTAGGGGAATTCATCTCAGGGGAAAGCTAGTGGATCAACAGGCAGAAATAGGACTCAGTCTGGCTGAACTGGGAGACAGTGATGAGGTCAGCCAGGCTGCTCTGGCCCCACTGAGCCAGGAAACTGGGGTTCAGTCTGTTTCTCCACTTTACAACTCTGGTAGCTTAGCATGAGCTAAGCTCATTAGTTACTCGAACAAGAAATAAGAATTTGTATTTGAAATATATATTAGGAATGTTTCCAGAGAACACTAGTTGGAAAGTGGCAGAGGGAGCCCCAGGGGCGCTCCAAAACAGAACAGGAGAACCTTCAAGGCCCAATGGTTGCCCTGGCAAAGGACTGCCCTGAAGGTGCATGGATTCCTGGGTCAAAGTGGGGTCACTGTCTGAGGACGCCTTCCAACAATGGAAAGGGGTCACTAGGTACCTGGGGGGTCTAATATGCACAAAAGTTACAGTGGGTCCAAAGGATGGGACAGGCATTATTTTTAATCGTTACTGTATCAGTATCATTTATACCATTTTACACCTTAAAAATAAGCCAATACAGTGTAGTATTCTATTTTCTAGATGGATTGTAAACTATTTCTGGATTTAGGGATTATGACTCTAGATCGTTGAGCGCTCCTTGACCTGGAATAAGTCTACCCAAGCATTAATCCTTACCCACAGAAACTGAAGATCAGAGGAAAATGAGGACCATGCTATATATTGGGTCCATTCCTTTTAATTTTCTGTGGCAATGGGGGAGAGGTTTGCTCACTAGAAAGATAGATACAAGTAACAGACATGGAGGGAGTCCACACTTTATAATGTCTGCCACATTCTCTTTCATGCGCTGCCACTGATGGGTATAGGAGGGGGAAAGCTCATTTCCCATCTTAAGAAGAAAGTTTTAACTGTTCTTTTGTGATTCACAATAAATGTATTCTCTAAACACATTTTTTGTAGCACTTCAAATGGAATATATAAGCTAATTCCTTTGCAAAAAGAAAAAAAAGCCAATAGCCCTATGATGGCAATGTAACATAAATACCAAAGGCTGCAGAGGCGAAGGGAGTGGCCAGGGCTGTGGGCCTGGGTTTGGCAGGAGGAGCAACAGGTAAGACAGGAAGAACAAGCCGCAGCAGGATCCACAAAGCAGGCCTGAATGCTGGGTGGGAAGCTAAAAATTGCAGGGATCAGAATGCAAAATTGTGCAGCCGCTACGGAGCCCCAAGGAGGTGCCTCAAAAAATTAAAAATAGAAATACCATCAAAGTCAGCAATCCTACTTTTAAGCATTTTTCATCTGAAAGAAATGAAAGCAGGATCTTAAAGAGATCAAAGCACCCCATGTTTACTACAGCTCTCCTGGCATTAGCCAAAATGGGGAAACCAACAAACATCCATCCACAGATGAAGGAGGGGTCGGGGAGAATGAGGCTGATGGAATATTATTCTGCCCTGAAGAGGAAGGAGAGCTCACCCTATGCAACAACATGGATAAATGGCAAGGACATTACGCTAAGTGAAATATACCAGCATGGAAACACCTCTTGATGCCATTGATCTGGGGTATCTACAATAGTCAAAGTCATGGAAGCAAAGAAGAGGAAGGCAGTTGCCAGGGAAGAAGGCGGGATAAGGAGGAGCTGCTAACCAACAAGAATGAAATTCCAGTTATGCCAGATGAATATGTTCTAATGACTGGCTGTACAATACTGTGCCCATCGTTAACAACACTGTATAAAAATCTGCTAAGGGACCTCCTTTCTAGCTGGTAGATTAAATGCTGCCCAGTTCATGAAGTGTTGGATAAAGTCAATAAGATCTATTAAAAATAAGTAAATAAATAAAAATCTGCCGAGTGGGTAGATCTCATGTTAATGTTCTTAGAATAAATTTTTATTTTCTTTAATTGCAGGGATCACGCCTCAGGAAGCATCTGTGATTCTGGCTCTCTGTCAAGTCTCTTATTTTGTTCCAATTCTGGACCAACCAACATATTAGCAAAAGCTGATAAATGTTAAATAATGCTGCATGATGTTATAACCAGTAAGGCTTGGGTGGGTTTATTCATGGAAAAAGGCCAACTGGAAAAGAACAACAGCCACTTTGTATCATCATAAAGCCCCACTTGGTCTACATCATTCTCCCCCTATGAAGCAAATGGGTATTACAGAGGCCACATGTCACTGTTCCCCCTTGCAAAAGGGAAGTTGAGGTGAATACAAAGCCTTTTTTTGCCAGCTTTTCTAGACAAGCCTGGTGGCACAACAGGAGGTGGGGGATGCATCTTTGTAGCATATTTCTCTCCATCTAGCTCCTGTGAGGGCGGCGTGTTTACCCCCCGATGTCCATGCGAGCTGACAGAATCCCACTTGACCACAGCAGTAAGGCCCATGTGAAATAGTCCACATTCACCAAACCCACTGAACAGTTAAGATGAAGGGTCACTCTCTCTTGTTAAAAGTAAAGTGATCTCATGTCCAACAGTCCTAGAAACAGCCATTATGATCCCAAGTTTCTGCTGCTGCAAACCCAACCAACTCCTTCTTCCCTTTCCCTGGTATCATTCTGATCCCACAAACACATACTGATGCCAGATATTATGAGGGTAAACCAGAGAAGCCAGGAAGACAGAGAGGAAGAGGACCCTGTGAAGTCTCCAAAACCATCTAATCTCTGAATGCAGGACTGAAGAGTCAGGAAACCAGTAGTGATTCTCACAGAGCAGACCCAACATGGGTCTGCAGACCCAAATTTTAGAAGGATCCCAGGAAATGGACATCACAGCCTCAGACGGGGAGGGAAGAGAATCAGCAAGCCCTGTGCTCACCAGAACAATGTCTCGAATAATGAGCTTCCTACCTACAGAAGATGTTCAGAAAGTAAGGACATTACAGCTTGAATCTTCATTTCCCACTTACCCCATCCCAAACTGAAGCGGTTTCTCGGGGTCTCCGAATGCGCCCTCCGCAGGTGCTCACATGCTAGGTGGCAGACTGGGGTTCAGAGTGTCACCCCTCATGGTACCAGCCCTCCTGGTCCTCCGGGCTCACAGGTGTAGAAAGGAGTTCTCAGTCCCCAGTAAGCTCTACCTATAAGGGCAGATGTAGGGAGACAGTGAGTTTTATGCTCATTTTCTCTATCCCTCTGGAAGCTGTGCGCATCCTCTGAAACACGAAGGTGAAAACACAGGAAAAGCTCCTCCTATGTGGCAGACACTCAGTCGGTATTGAGATTGAGTGTTGTAATAAGCAATTCATGTTTTAATCATCAAAAGCCCTTATTCAAATATAACCTTGTCAGAAACACTTGGGCCATGGTTATCTTTGTCCAGCTAACTCTCACAGTCTCCAGAAGTCCAGACTCTCAAGCAGTGGCGTATCTGATTCCAACACACTCTGGGTTCAGAAAGAGATCTCACAAGCCCATACCCCAATAGGGAAACAGATACAACTTTCCAAAAGTGCCAGTTTCTCCCCGGAAAGCCTTACCAAGGAATGCCATCTAAGGCTTGTTTTCAAGCAGCGGCATCAAAATAAACTGGAGACGTGGGGTTGCAAAACACTTGATGAAGCCTACGCCTCCCTGTTCTCCATTCTCAGAAAAACAGGCTCTAGAACAAAGCTCAGCAGAGGCGCTGTTCCTCAGCACCCCGTGTCACCGCGGACAGGCCGGACCAAGGACAGCTAGGCAAGCTGTCATCTTCAAAAATAACTCCACAGCTCAGGCCAATTTGCCAGACGAAATAGAAACCAGGACTCACTCTTCGGCAGAGTTGCAAAGGATGTTCAGTCAGGTTCAGTGTTTCCCTGCTCACAATCCCTCCCTACCCCCAATTTAGTCCCTTACCACATTAGATGCCTAAATACATATTAACTAATTATGCCAGGTATTCCCTGGGAGGTTTCAATTAGCAAACCCCAGGGCGAGCAAATGCCTTAAGGCCGGGTGACACAATAATGCGATATGTCTCCACAGAGGGACAGTAAGTGGCCAGCCTCCACCGCCCAGGCTTTTCATTTCTCTTCTTGGTTATGAGGTCAGGCACAGCAATAAACAGTCCACTTTCCCCATAGGATGGAGGAACTGCAAGTTCTGGAACAACATTCTCCAACAATGCAATACAATTGGTGTTGCAAAATGGACTTAGTAATCAGCAGTAACACCGTCAATCTCTGTTACATTCTGGAGTAACTTCACTTCACAATCTTGACCTTCACAGATGCAAGCCCACCAACTTACATCCCACTCTCTGCCCAGTTCTGGGCTTTATACCCAGTTCATTTCTATCCTAAAGGCAGCACAAGAGGAAGCTGGGAAGGAGGGAGGGAAGGAGAGAAGAAGAGAGACATGGAGAGAGAGAGATGGAGGCCAAGGAAGTAAAAGGAACTAGAGGAAAATGCGAATAAATAATGCCAGGAAGGCAAGATGAAAAATTAAAGAGAAAAAACAGATAACTGGCTTACCACCTATCAACTAATAGTAAAATGAAAAAATTAAAAATATAGGATGTGGGGCCTCCCCGGTGGTGCAGCGGTTGAGCACTGGGTTGCGAAGCTGCCCGCGGCCTCTGCAGCGCCGGTTCGATCCCCTGTGGTCCCACATGGCGCACAGACCTCTCCTGCCGGGCCCGCTGCTCCCCTCAGCAGTGTATTTCAGTCAGTCTGCCTGTTCTGTTCCCCGCTCTGGCTCTGGTGAATCCTCTCACCCTCCCGCACTTCTGACTGTATCCAGTGCTTGTATAAATAAATAAATAAATCTAAAATATATATATATATATATATATATATATATATATACATACACACACACACATATAGGATACAGTGCTTGTATCCTATATATATATATATATATATATATATATATATATATATATATATAGGATGTGACCCTGTAACCCCATCTGACTGTACTAAGACAGAACAAATGGGACACGTGGTTTTGTTTGATTCTTTTGGATAATCTGTCACATCTCTGGAAGGAAGGTGCTGATAGAAGCTGTGAGGCTGGAAGTGTGATTGGAAAGGGGAGAAAGGGTAAAGACTCAACGGATTACAACTTACTGAGTGCCTATTATGTGCCAAATCACAAACAGGCACCATGCATGAACACTCATATAGAAATCTCAAAACAGCACCCCACCCAAGCAGTTTCATTATTAACATCTCACAACAAAGAAAATGTAATAAATTCAGAGAGGTGAGGCAATTTCCCCAAGGCCACACAGCTAAAAGTGGCAGAGCAGGAGTTGAAACCCAGTTTAAGACCCCAGAGTTGTTGCTCTACTACTTGGTACTCTGCAAGATTATCTGAGAAAACTTTAAAATGCTAAGACTCATGCATTAAATATGAACCAAAATGAACCATTCTTCCTCCACCATTACTGCAAATTTGTTCTGCCCTAGTACACAGTAAATCTGTATTGTCAAGTGGGTTGAAAACGCCTACGATTCACATTGAATTATCAGTAAGAATTATGTAAATTCTAGTCAGATGTTTCCAAAACAATTTCATAGGGTGCACCCTGGATGAATATAAAAAACCCACCTTAGAACAATTTGATCCAATATGTCTGCTACTGAAGAACACAAGGTATCTTTTAGTAAAACTGGAAAACATTATATCAAAGGCACATAAAGATAAATACATAATATTTTCCTCCTGACAGTTAGGAGACTCACTGAGTTTTAAAGACTCTTAAAATCTTTGACAGACTTCTACAGGGCAAAATTTTTTAAACGCACCTACGCTTCAAAAAGGGGGTAGTGTTTGTCTATGTCCCACTTAAAATACAAACAAAAGCCAAAGGTGGTTCTTCCAAAAGACCACTAAAACTGATAATGTATTAGTACCGATCAAAAAGAAAAAAGGGACAAATAACCAACAGGGGAAATGAAAAACGAGACCTATCTACAGGTGCAAGAGTCCTTCAAAGCAACATAGAGAATCTTACATGCAACTTTATAACAATAGATGTAAAAAACTTACAAGAAACAGGAACATTCCTACAAACAAACTAGTTACTAAATAAGCACTATCATAATCTGATTTCTATTAAACAAATCAAATCTGCGATTAAAAAAAAGTCTGAGCCAAAGCAGGTTACTTATAAGAGAGGTATGGGGACCACAGGGGGAAAAAAAATGACATAGAAATTACAACTTTCTCTGGACCTGCTGCAAAGTCAGAGCAGAGCTCGTCAATTTCAAACACCTGAATGGTGCTGTTCTCTAACCCTTCCATGCCATAATGTCTAAAGCCCTTGGTGAATAATATATTCCCCTTTCTCTAGCTGGGGATTATTGTTCCACAAAACTCTATGAACAAAGATCTATTAGTCAGTTGCACCAGCACTGTCACGAGATGCAATTTGGTTGAGTTGTCTTTCCTGTTGTGTGAGATGCTGAAGATTGGGGGGTGGGCAGGCGTGGAAGAACACATGCCTCAGGTCAGATTCAAATTCACATTTTCCCGCCAGGTCTTTCCTGAGTCTAAGATAACCTTGGGGCTCTCCCAATTTTGACAGCCTGCACCTTGCTGCCTGGGTCGTGTTTGATTTGGTTTAAAAGTCATTACATTTTATTCTGTATGGTTAATTTCAGGGAATGGGGGATGTAAAACTGGCCATAGCAACCTGTCCCCTGACCCTTAATATCTAAGAGGATGTGGCTCAGAGAAAGCCAGACTGTTTCATTCTGGTAGCAGGAAAATAATTCTTGCCTTCAAAGATAATTCCTTAAAAATTCTTATGAAGTATTAGTTTACAAAACCCAGTTCCCATTGTTCCATATTGACCTGTTGATCAGGTGTGAAATAGGTAAAACAGGTAATAGTTAACCCACTGAGTCTCACCTGACCCCCAAGCAGTGACTACCACACACGTCAAATGAAAACTTGGCAAAATAAACCCTAACAAATGTTTACGAGACACTTTACTGTGGCCAAGTTTGTCGTCTGCTGGGACATGTCAGTGAGGTTTGCAAGGATCCCAATTTCAGTGCCACCTTCCACCAAACTTCCACTCCGGCCCCACGCTACAGTGGCTTAGGCAATCCTTGTGAAGATAATCCAGCCACCAGAGAAAGACTCACATTCTCCCCAAAAGTCCCAGATCAACAAATAACACCTCAAGAGGCAGGAAGCCTTGAGCCGACCTAATTCAATTAGACATAAAATTAATGAGAAACCCAAGACTTCCGAAGCTTCATTCCAGAGCTCCCATCCAGAAGCCTGCCGGGCGCCAAAGCTTCAGAATATTCCTTGGATCTTATTCTCCCTGGAATCCCAAAACTTTCCTGGGCTTCATTTTCAACAACACTGACCTGCACTGACAAAACACACAGGACGCTGGGGATGGGACCCATCTTGAGGGGGTGACATAATCCGAAGCCCCCTCCCCACCCAGATCATGGGTGAGAGAAGGCAAGATGGGAAAGGTGACTGGCTTCCAAAGACCAAGCCCTTTTTACCCCACAGCCAGAACCCACTTTGGGGGGAGAACCCAGGAGCAGCGAGGAATCAGCAGCCCCAGAGCCACAGGGTCCTGAGCCACACTCCCGGCTCTCCCTCACCACCCAACACAAAGAAACTCGCGGCGGAGAGAATGGCTTTTAAAATTAAGGCTCACCACGGCTCAGCCAGGCGCGCACGCTTCCCCGACAGGCTTCACATGTCTCAAACTTCCAGTCCCAGAAATGAGGAAGCAGCAGCCGTCCCTGGCTGCGGGCAGCGGGCGGGAGTGGGCGTAACTTGTGAGTTTCGTGCTCTGATGAATCTGGTCATCTGGGTGTGCTGGAGAGGGTTTGCTGCTCCTCCCCACACACCACCCTCCTCTCCGCCTCCTTCTCCAATTGAATTCTCCCCTTTGGCTTTGCAACGCCAAGAACTCAGACCGGCTGTCACTCAGCTCATGCGGCGTCCCAGAGCGCTCTGCTCCTGCCTTCCTTAGGGGAAAATTGATGCCTCACATTTAACCACCTTGGAGGATCCTACAGGGCCTACAGGTTTACAGTTTGCTGCACAGAAACCATCCGTTTCTGTCCATTTTTTTTCCCAGGGCACATGGCCAGAAGTCAGTGCCTCTGAGTGG